TGTTTTTCATGTGTCTATGTTAAGGCGATACCGTCCAGATCCAGATCACATCATTCAGGTTGATGAGGTAGAGCTGAGACCTGATTTGTCATATGAGGAGGAGCCTGTTCAGGTTTTAGAAAGAGATGAACGAGTTCTTCGGAATAGGCGTATTTCAATGGTCAAAATGCAGTGGAGTAATCGTAGCCCCTCAGAAGCTACTTGGGAGACATTGGAGTAAATGGAGGTTCAATTTTCTCATCTGTTTTCATAAGGTAAATTTCGAGGACGAAATTTCTTGTAGAGGGGGAGAATTGTAACAACCCGAAAATTTCAAAATAATGTTTAATTGAAATTTGAGGTTAATTATGAAAATTGGTAAACTTTGGGGACTAAATTGAAAGTTCTTTAAACTTGTAGTTTGTTTTAGAGTTAAAAGAAAATTCAGAGATCAAGCCCTGAATTTACCCTTATATGTTAAGTATGTTTTGGTTTATATATATGAATACGTGGTTTTCTGTTTTGAAAACAGAAAACCACGCCCAAATTTCCCTTCTCCTACCTCAACTTCCTACGACGATCCCGACGCCGTTTTAATTCCGATCGCCGTTTTGAAAGCACCATCGTGTTCGTTATCGAGTCAGGAACAATCCCTTCAATTTAATTGAAGCGAAACGCTGCCAAACACCGTGAATTTCAAGTCAAAGCATCGACGTTTTTTTTAGCTCAATCGCCTAGAAAATCCTAAATTCATCACCGATCGTTGCTCCGTTTACGACACCTCCCGCACCATCGTGTTCATTGTGTCATTCCGAGTCCACCGGTGTCATCCTCGGTCTCCGTCGACGGCGACACGTGGGGAGGTGGATTAGTCAAAGATTCGGCCGAGTCTAAATTGAGCTCTCCGCCGTTCAAAAATTTGAACCGATCTTTGTAAGTATCTCGAAATCGCTCAAAATAATTTTTAGAAATTTTTCCGTGATTTTTAGAGCCCCGGAGGACGTCGCACGCGCTGCCGCAGGGCGAGTGGAATCTGAAAACCGGTTTAACCGGTTTTGAACCGGTTTTGACCGGTCACGACCCGACCCGTTGACCCGAACCATTGACACGACCCGACCCGTTGACCGGTGCTATTCTGGGAATTTATTCGATTTTGGTGCTATTTTGGGAATTAATTTGAAATTGGGTGCTATTTTGGTAATTTTTGAGAATTAATTCGAAATTGATGCTATTTTGGGAATTAATTCAAAAGTGCTATTTTGGCTATTTTGGCAATTATTTTAAAAAGGGTGCTATTTGTGTAAAATGTTTGACAGTTTGTTGACCTCCTTTGACTGGCTTTGACCGACTATTAAACGACCGTTAATCTTTTTCGAAAATACCTATCCTGATAGTTTTTGCCGTCCCGAATCCGTTTTTGGGGTCCGTTTTGCTAAATTCAAACCTAAAAGTCTCCAAATCGTCAGTCAAACTTGTTGACTTTAATTTTGACCAAGAATTCGAAATTTCGAAAGGTCATACTTTATGTTTTTCGACGTCCTGAATTTGATTCCGAAGTTTGTTTTGCCAAATTCTGACCCGAAATTCCCGAATCAAGCTTGTGAACCCAAAAAGGCTCAGTATTTTAGTATTTTGATTATTTATTTGAGATATGGTTAAGAAATTGATTAAGTAAGATATTTTATGAAGGTACTCGTGTTTCACCTGAGCAAGGATCAGTCAGGTCCGGTGTTGTCCGTTCTTCATATCAGTCCGAACCGCGTATTACAAGAACTACTCGTAGGTTTCCGTATATTATTTAAGTAAAGATTAAGATTATTTTTTTATTAGAATTCCAATAAGGATTTTTTCAATTCGTAGGATCTAGCACTGCAGCAGAGCGTGATCGACAAAACCAGTAATAAGCTTCCCTATCTGATTTCTCAGACTGTTACAGGTGTGTTTCCCTACCAGTGTTATCTTACAGTTATAAACTATATATCCGAACTGATTTATATTATGAGAATATAATATACTTTATGAGGAAATATCCGATATTTTGAATAATGTTTATTAAATGTCTGATTTACCGTATAATTTTTATATGGTTTATAGTTATAGTATTTTTGGTACATGATTTCTAAATATGGAACATTTCCATATTTAATGGATTAATTACTGTTTTTACTCCAATGCATACATGTTTATTTTGTCATTTGGGGTACGATTGAAGGAAGTATTATCAGGTCCCTTTGCTGTGTGCGGAGGTAAGCCTTACAGTTTACCAGGTCCCTTTGCTGTGTGCAAGGGTAAGCCTTACAGTTTCCCAGACCCCTTTGCTGTGTGCGAAGGTAAGCCTTACAGTTTACCAGGTCCCTTTGCTGTATGCAAGGGTAAGCCTTACAGTTTCCCAGGTCCCTTTGCTGTGTGCAAGGATAAACCTTACAGTTTTCCTAGGCTCCTCTACTTTGTGCATGGGTTAAGCCTTACTGGTGTATAGGCGGTGTACGGTTCAGGTGAACCTACACAATTTGGTGATTGGATGGGGGTAGTGTGCATGTTATTAAAATATATTTGATAAATTGTTTTATCTTATCTGAATTATTTTGTTATGTATATGTTATACACTGTATGGGACACACTGGGCTTTTTAGCTCATTCTGTAAATTTTAACCTTTTTTAGATAACAACAGACCGTAAGCTAGCAGATTTGGCATCAGGAGAAATCAACTACTTTATTTTGTACGAACATATATTTTTATATGTTTTTCGGTTATGTTTGGTGACATGTATTTTATTACCGTTTTGGACATATCTGTATTATTAATATTATGTTCTATATTATATTTAACGTTCTATAAGTTATATAAAAAAAACCTCTGAATGGGATATGTGACCGTTAGGTTTGGGTCTATCTTACAGACAGGGTCTAGGGGGTTACAATATTCAAAAATACTGTTTTTAAGGTCAATCAAACCCAAATTACATCTAATTAATCTAACATTTGGCTCAAATCTTCATAATGGACTATTGGATTCATCTAAAACTCACTCGGATTAACCCAAAAACTACTAGCATTACACCTAGTGTCACAAAACTATGAGTACTCCCACAGTCCATTAAAATGTTCAGTGGTCTTCCCACTGATTCTGAGAGTATCGTGACTTGCATTACTAATTATGCATTAATAGAAATCTTCTAGTTCTCCATCCTAACAAAACACCTCATTTGTCAATTCAGCTATGTGTAGCTTCTCTTTTACTATTGGTGCACTGACCTCCTCCTCTTCCATCATGTTAAGCTGCTTCAATTTGCATTGATGAGCAGGTCCAAACTTTTCCCCAAACTTGAAGCAAGTTATTTGCTCTCCTATAATTAATTAGGTTTTGTTTATTCATAATTACAACATGAAGACTTCTTTGTGTAGTTGGAGCTGGTAAACTAAGTGTCGTCTGACCACCTGATGTGTGTATAAGAATTCACCTTAAAAATTGGCGTGTTCATCTTATTATCAACCTCCAAATCTAGTTCATACAGTTTAGCTTTCCTGTAAGTAACAGCTAGATTTTGCAGTTCATGGATTTAAATTCTTTTTTCACTATAGCAAAATTTGTTTTTAGCGGCGGTTGTAGAGGCATTTTTATAGAAAACGCCAGTAATATTTTACATATAGCGGCGTTTTTGGACAAACGTCGCGATATCCAAATATATAGTGGCGTTTTTCGAAAAACGTCACTAAAAACTCGTACTTTAGTGGCATTTATGTAAAAAAAGCCGCAATAGCCAGATATATAGTGGCGTTTGTGTAAAAACGCCACTAAAATCTCACACTATACTGGCATTTTATTAAAACGCCGCTATAAACTCATCATTACTGGCGCTTTTAGAGAAACGCCGCTATAGACTTGTACAATAGTGGCGTTTGTTATAAAAATGCCGTAAAATCAAGTACATTAGTGGCATTTTTTCATGTAAACGCCGCTAAAATCTCGTACTATACTATTGTTTTATTAAAAACGCCGCTATAAACTCATGCATTACTGGCACTTTTGGGAAAACGCTGCTATAGACTTGTACATTAGCGGCATTTGTTATAAAAACGCCGCAAAATCACGTACATTAGTGGCATTTTTTCATGTAAATGCCGCGAAAGAATAATTATATGTCCCTCATATCTCCTGGCCGATCCCTAATTCTTTTGAACCCTTCTTCCCTATCTTCCCCCTTCTTCCCTAATTCTTCCTTGAAAACCCCCAACACGACATCTTCTCCTATCTCCTGGCCGCGAAAGAATAATTATATTTTCGCCGACATGGACAACAACGAGGATCTAGAGCTTATTTTGCCTTCCGACGAGACATCTTCTCTTAGTCAAGAAAGAAAATTTAAATGATTGGAGAAGGTGAAAACGATTTCGGAAAATACATCCCCATTTGAAGCCCTGGATTTTGGTACATTGGAGCCCCATGTAGTTGAGGAGTCGAAATCGGGATCCTTGTACAAGGGTTCTTTTGAAGAGGAAAATGAATTGAGTTATTGCTTTGATGAGTTGGGCGTTGAAAGAAACGGGTCGGATTCAATTGCTAAATGGGCTTTGGATTTTGATTCAATGACCGAGGAAGTTGATGGAAACGTTGAAGGTCAGAGTCAAGAGAAAAGAATTAGATATTTCGAACCGGAGGAGTCAGAGAAGAAGCTGCCTAGTTTCGAAGAAACTGCCTAGTTTCGAAGAAACTGCCTAGTTTCGAAGAAACTGAGAGAGAAAGGCGTTGGCGATGGGGAGATGCCCATCTTACCAAAAATGTACACCGATTTGGGATAGGAGGGACACACAGCTGTAAAAGAACCAGAATACTTGGCGCATGATAATACCATATGATAAGTTTCAAGGACTAAATTCTGAGTATTTGGCCTGTTTACATTGTATTTATGGTTGAAAAAACCATAGATTTAACATACTTGCTATTTAACACAAGCCTTCTGAGTCATTACTGAACTTCTGTAAGTATAGGAGAGGAGAAACAAAGGGGATTCTTTGCTACTCACGATTTAGAATCACCAAATTTCCACCAATCTGGTTCATACCATTTGTGGGTCCTATAAATTTGTAAAAGAACATTAAAAGAAGGGATCATAAATCTTCAGAAAAGAAAGTTGGGAAGGAGCCGATCTCAATCAATGTATATAAGTAATCATCAGATGAAACAATTATACTCACGGTTCAGAGAAAACTTCTCCTGATTTCATACACCCCATATAAACACGAGGCTTATCCAAATGAGCAGAAAGTTTTGCTCCTAGAGCATCTGTATACAATCAGAGGACCAACTATAAAAATTATTGTATCTGTAAAGGCTGAGAAGAATTATTTAGTTCTATAGCGATACGCATTTTCAGTTAACCAAGACAACCCTTACACCTCAACACTTTTAGCTGATCGTCACTGTCTGTCATGTTTTCTGCAACAATGGTTCATACTAATGACTAGAAACTTCAGATATTATTGAAACTGATACTACTCAGAACAACTTTTTGGAATTAAGGCATTCTACAATTGATATTGTGATATATTAAAGGGGAAAGTTCTAGAAGATGAGGGAGAAATTAAACTTCCGTATAAAGAAATTATGTGATTAGTACCTTAAACATTACCTGAAGAACTAACAACGGTTACATACCAATATTAACGTAAACATCATCGTTGACCTTAACATAGAACTCTGAATCCCAGCTCTCTACAGCATGAGCAAAGAAAAACTTTATCTTCTTAGAACGTTCTTCAGGTGCCTCCACTCCATCCTGTTGTGACACAGGAAAATGATATTTGCCGCTAACATGATGATTCAACAGGAATAACATCCAGAACACATGAATCAAGTCACAATTAGAATAAAAGATATCATAAAGTTACTATAATTTTTAAGCTAGTTTACAATAACTTCTAGGAGATACAATTCCATTCAGAAAAATCCAATATAATCTTAAAATCCATGTATTTAAAGTCGAAACCTCTGAGGTATGCAAGAAATAGATTGATATAGCAGGTCAGCATACCAAAATAATGAAGTCATTAGTCTGGCTGTTTTCATCTCTGATCTCCCTGTCTAAACTATCTCCACGATTTGCACTGCCAGTAATATACAATTCAATAAACAGAAATGTGATACTTGATAAGAGGAACCAAATACAAACCTTTTTCCTATTATGAATCGCACAACAATTCCCTTCTCTTCTTCCAATTTTTTCAAAGCCGCACCTGCAGATATTATATTTTCAGTTTAAATACTATCAGAGGATATGATAATTAGGCAGCAAGAAATTTAGAAAATCTATGAATAACGTAATGGAGGGAAATAAATTGGAATCCACATATCCATCAACCATACTAGAGAAGGAAACCATTCTTTCAAGCTCATTTAGAGTGAAGACATGTTCATATTGCATCTATTCTCATCCGCCCAAGTTTCTGACTTTGGGACACATTTGGAGCAATTAATATTAAGCAGCCATCTTAAATTACAACAAAATAGTTTTCTTTGATCATTTGGCCTTTTAGTTAAAAGCTAAAGCAACCTTAGCTTCTAACTTACAGTGGACATGAAAACAGTTAATAAGTTTGTGTGCAACTTCATATTAGCTGTTGCAGACAACAATCCTCCATGTGTCACTCATAAAGCATGTATTCTAATGCCACTTAACCCCAATAGAATGATGGATAGATAAATAGATGTATGCTATAGCCATTGCCATTAGTACAAGAAGACGGTAAATAAAAAGCACTTGGAGCCTACTGTATCGGCATGGTTCATTGCTTTAAAATAACACACTATAAGTGATAAAACTAGTCAAGAGAATGATTAATTACCAGATTACATCCAAGCTTTCCGTAGTGCATCTCAGTTTTTCTTCCATCCAAATGTTGTGACGATGCCAATAACAGCTAAAAGCCTTTTCTTGGAATGAGTACCATCATTTCCCGAATGCTCCTTTGAAACAAAACCTTCTTGCTTAGCAGCATCTAGATCCTTCTCAATAGATGATAATTTTTTCAGTTGTTCCCTGAATATCATGCTTTATCAAATTAGACTCGATACAGAGAGTAATTATAGCCACGGACTTCAATTGCGGCTGTGGTTACATTTTCGGTTGCATTCGCGATTGCGGACGTAATAGACACTATTGTGGTCATTGTGGGTATCGCAATCGTGCAATAGAGGTTTCGGATGCCACCGCTACCGCTATATGATGGCCGTTATTCCAATAACTGACCGCAATTTAAATCCATCATAGCCATATAATGTGCATAAATGTAAAAGTGAAAAGACTTACTCGCAGGCGACAATTTTTAAAGTCTCAGAAACAGATACTGAAGAATGACCCTGGAAAAGATTAAAAATCCAACGCCATGGGAGTCCAACTGATTTGTACCAAAAACATCTTCAAATTTTTGACATGATCATTATAAAAAAAAAAACAATGACCAACAATAAATTTAAAGAAAAGTAGCAAGTTTGATAGACAAATGAAGGAGCAATGAATGAAAATGAAGATCATCTACAAACTCCAAAAGTTTATATTAATGGGAAATTTTAAAATAAAAATAAAAAAAGAGATCGAGAAAAAGAAAAAAGAAAAAATCACCTGACCAGTTCTCCTACCAAGTTCTTTAATTAAATATACTCTGCTCTCTGCCTCCTGCCACATCCTGCATTTAAATACCACAAAAAGAAATGCCTCAAAATAGAATTTCTCAATAAACCCACAACGAAAAAACCGAAAAAGGAACGAAAAGCAACCGGCCGGCAACGTAAACCGTAGCCATGGTAGCGAACATGGCGAGAATCAAAGCTGAAATTCTAGAACGAAAAGTAGAGCCAGCACCAGAATTAGATATCCGGTTACTCGATCCTCGGCTACGCATTTTCTCTTAACTCCTTGTCTACAAACTTCGATATATAAAAAGATTTAAGTAGGGGAAAAAAGACACTTAATTTTCTTTAATTTATGAAGCAGATCCGTAGAAACCAAAACGTAAAAGTTGAAAGTTGAGTAGCCAAATTTTAAATAAAATAAAAGTGGCCGCTAATATAATTTACCCAAAACATTTACTTTGATGGTTTGAGGAGTAAAAGTGGTCACCCTTCAGGATCATATTCGGTTTGTTAGGGGTATATATGGTTATTACGACGGCAATCTGGTTTGTTACCTACTTCCAAATTATGGCTACTTTTATCGCACTTACCTACACTGTCAGTGTTCGGTTATTTGATTGACGAGCTTTGCACGAGGCGCTTCCGACGGGACGCCGGTTATTTTTGGTGAGGGTTTCCGATGGTCGCTATTGTCTGTGTGATTCGTCGAAGGAAACTGTACTCCATATTAGTGAAATAGAAACTGTAAAATAAAACAGTTAACCTAACTGGAAAATTTTAAAATAAATAAACAATAAATTGAATAACTATATTTTGGTATTAACTACTACCTTAGAAACAAATTCGTTTCGATGTGTAATTGTTGCTGTCGTAGCCAATTTCGGGCTAGGTCTGGAATTGAGCTTCGACTTAGGAAAGTGGATTCGGAGTCGCCACCGATCATTTATTTTATTAAAAATGGACTGATCGGATACCTTATTTCTTATCTGATCTGCATCTTGCCAGTTATATGTCGGATTCGGGAGTCGGTTACATTCAAGGAAGGGTTAACACCCTTGAACTGCCATTTCGCTACTACGTAATTTTCATTTGTCATTAAGTAAGAAAATTATAAGTTTAACTTGAAAGGTAAAATATCGATCTGAATTATTTACCTCTGATTAATTGAAAATGCACTCTTTAAAAGTCAAAATATGTGTTAGAAGAAATAAATAAATAATAAAGAAAATAAAACGAATAAAATAAGGCAAGTAATAAAAAATAAAGAAGATAAAAATAAAGTATATATAAAAATGAATAGAATAAATAAAATAAGTAAAATGAAGAAAAATAATGATAGTAATATATACATAGCAAACAATTAAATAAAAATAAGATGATAATGCAAATAAATAAATAAATAAAATAAAATAAATAAAAGGAAGATAAAAGATAAAAATAGAAAATAAAAATAAAATAGATAAATAAATAAAATATAAAAAAGTAAAATATATATGCATATAACAGTAAAATAATATATATATATATATATATATAGAAAACCAAAAGTAAAGATAAAAATAAAAAATATACATATAGGAAATAAAATAGGAAATAAAATTATATATATAATAATACTAATAATAAAATATATAATAAAATTAATAAAACACTATATATATATATATATATATATAATAAGAAAAGCAAGTTATTAAAAAAAATAATTAATTAAAAATTATCAAAATTTAATAGACAAATTGAAGTTAACAGAGGTTAAATTGACAAGAAAGGCAAATCGAGTGTCCAAATTAAAAGAGAATTGGGGTTTCAAAATCGATTTTGGGTTAAAACACAAGGATTAAAGCGACGGGGGACTAAAAACAGGATTACCCCATTTTTATTTAAAAACGCACGGGTCGTTTTGGTTCCGGATCGGTAGTGGGTTGGCTTACGGGTCTTGTATAAAGCCCAAATCAAGGCTTATTATTTTCATTTGTTTCATTTAGCCGAAATCAACCCCCTTTTCAAAATACTCTCGTTTGTTCTTCCAAATGAAGAACAAGGGCTGGGCCATTTCCAGAAATTGGCCATACGCCGCACTGCGCCGCCTCGCCATCGCCGTTCATCGGCGGCAAAAATCTATTTTTTTTTGTTTTTCGAAAGCTTTTCACCCTAGATTTCAAAAATCAAAAGCAATTTTCAAAAAGAATACGCCTCAGGGTAGATCTAAAATTGTAGGTTTCGAAAAAAAACCGTCTTACCCCATGTTCATCGGCGTTTCAAATCGACCAAGAGTGAGAGAAACCATGCATGCAAGATGGAAACTTCAACAAGGTAAAAAAATACCTTCTTTATTTCACTTCGAAATGGTTACAAGAGGCTTGGATTCACTGTTTTTGCGTTTTTCGAATATTGCTTGTGTATTTGGTAGTCTATTTCGTGCCTAATTTCGTATGAAATCGTGTCCGCTTTGTGTTGATTACACTGCTATTTATAGCCTAGGATTTGCTAAGCATTTGATTCCTATTCTAACTTGGTTGCTTTGTTGTCTTCGTGGGTTGTTGGTGTTGATGCTGAGATCCTGCGCCGGAGAACTCGGGCTGTTGGAGTGCGTGGCCGTGAAGATCGGAGTCACGGGCGAGGAAGAGTCCTCACAAGAAATGGCGTTGGGGGTTCCTGGAAATGGTGTTGGATGAGGGTTTTTGAAAACCCTAAACTAATTGGGTTACTATTGGGTTTGGGTGCTGGTCCACTTTTGTGCTGGGACACTTGTAATGTAATTTGAGCCTGATACAAAAGTATAAAACGTGTTAATAAAATAATAATAATATTTATACTATATATATATATATATTTGTTTATTTCGGTCATAAAAAGTGTGTCTACAGATACCCCTCTTTGCCCATAGTCATGTAACGGGGATAGGGCAAAGATTAAAAGACATTTTCGTTTAACCTGAATGTATCCAATTTTAACACTATCCATATAGGGTTCACTTCTATCGAATATCCTCCGTTGTAGAGTTGAAAATTCGATGTTGAAATTGGTTTGTAAATCATGAAATGACTCCCTCATCGTGAGGTTGAGTCAAAACTGGGAGATTCTGAGTACGAAATCCCTCGTCGTGAAGTTGAAATCGAACTTGAAGCTTTGACCAGTAGCTCCTGAATCGTCTTCTGGCTCAGGATACTTCGTCGTGAAGGTGAAAAACTTATCCTGAAGACTTTGGTATTATGGTGTCACAGATGACTCCTTCGTCGTGAAGTTGGGTCAATTTGTTTGTGAAGTTTTAATCATATATGGCCCCTTCGTCGTGAAGTTGAGCCTTGAATTGGAGATCCTTCATCATGAAGTTGAAATCCAATGTAAGTTGTGTTGTTTCGAGACCAATATCCTTCGATGTGAAGTTGAAATTGGCTCTGAAAATTGGGAAATTGTTTGTTGACAACCAGCCGCCCCTTCGCTGTGAAGTTGAGCTTGTGCTGCCTGAGTCTAACATCCTTCGATGTGAAGTTGAAATTGACTCTGAATGAAACTGAGAAGTTGTTTGTTGACAACCAGTCGCCCCTTCGTTGTGAAGTTGAGCTTGTGTTGTCTTGAGTCCAATATCCTTCGCTGTGAAGTTGAAATTGGCTCTGAAATTGGGAAGCCCCTTCATCGTGAAGTTGAGCCTCAAATGACATGATATCCTCCATCGTGGAGTTGAAATTGTGGATGCGTGTATACGATATCCTCCGTCGTGGAATTGAAATCGCGGATGGCCCATTCGTCGTGAAGTTGAGCCTTAACTTGAATATCCTTCATCGTGAAGTTGAAATCCAAGTATTGTATGTTGTGGGTGGACACGATTCCCTTCGCAGTGAAGTTGAAACCGTGGATGACCCATTCGTTGTAAAGTTTGGCTTCGAGTCAGATATCATTCGTCGTGAAGTTGAAATATGCTCTCGAGCAAATCATGTTATTTTGAGTCCAATATCCTTCGCTGCGAAGTTGGAATTGACTCTAGATAAAACCTGCAAAGATATACATATATGCGATGTTATGGATGCAATGGTCTTAGGTATGCCTAAAATGCATATGCATCATATGTTATTCTGGGCTCTGGAGAGAAATCTCGATCTCCGGTTGCTTGTCGTGTGGACTCTTGGTTTTGGAATCTGGAAGTTCTGATTCCTGATCTCGAATTCTTCAAATGTGTAAATATGATGTTCTTTTTTCTTGATTTGGGAAATGCTTTCTAGACCATCTTAAGTATGTGTCTGAGCCTTGATCGGCTTCCAGGTACCTGTATTTTTCAATGAATCTTTGTACAATAATATGCAATTATCTTTTGCATAAGTAAATAAATCATTAAGTTTAAGTTCAATCCAAGATGCTCAAAAGGAATTGATTTATAGAAAAAGATTATCTTTATTTATAAGAGAAAAAGAACAAATAGTACATGACAAACATTTTGGAGAATGAATACATGGTAAAGTATGAAATGAATGTCTTAGATCTTGATAATGTGGACACTTCTAAGCTAAAAAGCCGTTAGGTGGTCTTGAACGCAACCTTTGCCAAGAGATCTTCGAAAATGCGACAACGTTCTGGAGAGTGCAACCTTTCTCTGACTCGTTGAGTTTGTAAAAGATTCAGATACCGGGATGTTTCCACTGTATGGATTTCTTGAATTATCCAAATCGCCCTTTTGGGTTTTCAACTTGGACCCATCATTGGTTGCAAGACGCCCTTTGCGGGTTTTCATCTTGAACCCACATTTTATTTTTCTTTTCTCTTTTTTCCTTTTTTTTCAATTTAGGGCGCCCTTTCGAGTTTTCACCCTAAACGTTTTATTCTTTTTTTTGTTTTTTTTCTTTCTTCGACTTAGGACGCCCTTTCGGGTTTTCATCATAAGCGAAGTATTTCTTGACTGCATCCGAATTGATGGGATGTGACAGTTCAGGTCTGTCCATTTCAGCCAGGACAAGAGCTCCTCCGGAAAAGGCCTTTTTCATGACATAAGGTCATTCCCAATTTGACGTCCATTTTCCCGGAAATCTTTCTGGATTGGCCAAATTCTCTTTAGCACCAGATCTCCTTCGGGAATATTCTCAGGTGCACCTTCTTGTCATGTTCTCGAATCATTCGTTTTCGATAGATTTGACCATGGTGAATGCTTTCAGTCTCTTTTCATCTATCAGATTAAGCTGATCATATCTGGATTGCACCCATTCTGAATCATCCAGTTTGACTTTTGTCAAGATCCGTAGTGATAGAATCTCTAATTCAATGGGAAACATTGCTT